TTTTTTGGGGGGGGGGGGGGGGGGTAGGCTGAGGGCACCTTAATTCGTAATGTGACTGTATATCCAAAATCCACGTTCCGCCACCCCCTTGTTTGCACTGCCGTCTGCACAATGGAATTTGGAAAATATGTTTGTACGTGTTGTACCGTGACTGCCACAAATCGGAGAGAAACAGACCTCTTCATCCAACAAGGCCTGAAAACTCCTGTGCTGAGAGATGATGCCTACCATGCCAAATGATAATCCACATGCACATCGCATCTGATACCTATGGCGCCATGAGAGTTGGGTGCGAGAGATTCAAAATTCCCAACATGGTTCTAGTGCGTGACAATCTGTGACAAACATACAAAACCAAACAGAGTTTTCGAAATTTCGTTGTGCAGATGGCAATGCAAAGCACTGTAGTCATCTTTCGCACAGCCACACGCAAAACCACACATCTGCCTTTTGTTCATACCTTTGAGTTTTAACTTCCCTCAGTCTTGAGAGGCATTTGTCGTTTTGCTTCTCTGACACACTTCTCAGTTGACCGCCATCCTTGTGGCCCAACTTGATGCCGAACCACTCTGGGAGGCAAGTGGGTAATCAGGAACATCAGCTGACTCTGTGAAACGGTCTGTTACCCATTTTTAAGATTGACGCCGCACAGCATTGATTCTCTCTTCTGAACCACCATGTCTGATTCCATCGACCCCCGTGAAAATCGTTTGAAATGCAAGCTCAAGGAATTGCCTGATGAAGGCATGATCACTGACTACCCATGTAATAAATGCTATGGTGGTTTGAGGTTAGAGATCATGATCTTGCGCTACTAGATAAATATTAACATGAAGCTGTCAGCCCCAGCTCTGCCCTGCCTATCTTGATAACTCCATCTTCAACCATCAGTGCAGCAGACATAGCCATGGCAGGCAGCAGTAAGATACATTCTAAGCTTCCTGCATCGAAGTGAGCATTGATTGCTCATCAAATCAAATTTACAGGTGATCAGGTTGATGTCTCCATGGGTGGAGGGCTCGAGTGCTCGCAACAAGTTTTACCTATCTCCACTGGTCTGCATTAACCCCAAACCTCTATCATTCATCATTGGTGATACTGATATAGATATCCTGAGTTCTTACCTGCCTACCACTCCATCTATTGCCCCTCTCCTTGAAATGACTGTTGCCTGTGAGATACCCCTCAATCTCTTTGCCATAATGTTCATACTAACCTTCATTAATTCTTATCTCACAGTTGATCAGATTGAAGGTCCTGTGCAAGGAGCTGTTGATTCCTTGCAACACCCTTCTCCTATCTCAACAGGTTCATGCTTGCTCCAAATCTCTATACTCTATTTCTGATAACACTGTTTAGATTTGCCAGGTTCTGACCTGCCTATCTCTCTATCTATTCCTTCTGCTTTGAATGCAGAACTGATGCCTGCTAGTCAGTACTCTTATGAATATAGTTCAGGCTTGCTCAAATTAGACAGACCATGCAGAGTTCTCAACAAACTTTCAAGCTGACATTATAAATAAGATTTCAGCTCAAAATGTGAACACAGGCCCCAACTATGGTTTGTTGCATTTGGACTATCAGATTTTATTGCCTTCACTTATATTTTAATAGGTACCATCAATCAAAGGTAAGTAGTAAGAAAAGCATCATATTCATCTTAATGTTGTTTGTCATTGGTAGGTGTGGACCCAAATATTCAAATCACCCTTGAGATGATTAGGGATGAGCAACTGGGTATTATTGAAGGTTCTTAGCTCAAATATGTAATTGACTTCATTCTTTGTTACAGGGAAGAAGATTTATAAATGGCTTTCTCCACCCAAAGAGACGTGGAGGATGTCTTGAAAATATGTTCTAGTTTCATTATGAAATCAGAAGGTGTGTTTAGAAGAATAACAGATTGAAATGGGCACTGACTATTAGATAGGCTTCATCAAGCTTTCCCACTTTTCTGTCAAGGAATATCTAATATCCCAGTATATTCAAAGCCATCATGTGAAGCAAGTCAGATACTTCAGTTTCAGTGAGGAGCTATCACGCTCTGTCATATCTCAAATCTGTCTGGCCTATCTTCTGCAATTCAACGCATCTCAGCCACTTGATAAAAATCTGGATGTATCTTTCCCTCTTGCAAAATATGCTGCAGAACACTGGATCATACATGCACATTCCAGTTGCAAGAGTCAATCTCAGTCATCTTCAATATTTGCATTGATGATGAAGCTTCTGACAGATGAAAATAATGCTTTTGTGAACTGGGTTAAAATTCATGATATTGATGGGCAGTTCTTTTGGATAAAGAGGAATGAGATTGCTAAACCACTATATTATGCATCACTAGCTGGCCTAACTGAAGCATCATATGTTTTATCAGAAATGATGACAGATATAAATGCACAGGGAGGATACTATGGAAATGCACTCCAGGCAGCATCATATGGAGGCTATGACGCAATTGCAAAGCTGCTCATAGACAAGGGAGCAGATGTAAATGCACAGGAAGGACACTATGGAAATGCACTTCAAGCAGCATCATACCAAGGCCATCAGGCAATTGCAAAGATGCTTATAGACAAGGGAGCAGATGTACATGCACAAGGAGGATGGTGTGGAAATGCACTCCAGGCAGCATTATATGGAGGCCATGAGGCAATTGCAAAGCTGCTCATGGACAAGGGAGCAGATGTAAATGCACAGGGAGGATACTTTGGAAATGCACTCCAGGCAGCATCACATGGAGGTCATGAGGCGATTGCAAAGCTACTCATAGCCAGGGGAGCAGATGTAAATGCACAGGAAGGACACTTTGGAAATGCACTCCAGGAAGCATCATATGGAGGCCATGAGGCAATTGCAAAGCTGGTCATAGACAAGGGAGCAGATGTAAATGCCCAGGGAGGAGAGTATGGAAATGCACTCCAGGCAGCATCATACCAAGGCCATGAGGCAATTGCAAAGCTGCTCATAGACAAGGGAGCAGATGTAAATGCCCAGGGAGGAGTGTATAGTGATGCACTTCAGGCAGCATCATATGAAGGCCATGATGCAATTGCAAAGCTGCTCATAGAGAGGGGAGCAGATGTAAATGCCCAGGAAGGAGAGTATAGAAATGCACTCCAGGCAGCATTAGCTGGAGGTCATGAGGCACTTGCAAAGCAGCTCATACAGGAGGGAGCAAATGTAAATGCAGAAGGTGGAGACTTTGGAAATGCACTCCAGGCAGTATCATATGAAGGCAATGAGTCAATTGCAAAGCTGCTTCAGAGAAGGGAGCAGATATATATGCACAGGGAGGACAGTATGGAAATGCACCCCAGGCAGCATCATATGGAGGTCATGAGGCAGTTGCAAAGCTGCTCATAGAGAAGGGAGCAGATGTAAATGCAGAAGGTGGACAACATGGAAATGCACTCCAGGCAGCATCATGTAGAGGCCATGAGACAATTGCAAAGCTTCTGACAGAGAAGGGAGCAGATATATATGCACAGGGAGGACAGTATGGAAATGCACCCCAGGCAGCATCATTTGGGGGCCATGAGGCAATTGTAAAGCTGCTCATAGACAAGGGAGCAGATGTAAATGCAGAAGGTGGACAACATGGAAATGCACTCCAGGCAGCATCATGTAGAGGCCATGAGACAATTGCAAAGCTCCTGACAGAGAAGGGAGCAGATATATATGCACAGGGAGGACAGTATGGAAATGCACTCCAGGCAGCATCATTTGGGGGCCATGAGGCAATTGTAAAGCTGCTCATAGACAGGGGAGCAGATGTAAATGCACATGGAGGACACTTTGGTAATGCACTCCTGGTAGCATTAGGTAGAGGCCATGAAGCAATTGCAAAGCTTCTCATGGAGAAGGGAGTAGATATAAGTATTGGTCAGATGCACCCAACATATTGAAGAACAGGTTATTATGTAGGACATGAAATAGCAAAGATTTTATGGAGGATCAGGATGAAATGGAAAGACATCTTGGATGCTTGATCATTATAACTAATGTCAAGGTAGAAGCATACATATTTAGTACATTTTGTATAAACAAACGTTGGAATGAAGGTTTGTGACTGAATCAAAGTTTTTGCAATGGTACTACATCAAGGGGGGGGGTCCTGGATTTGAAAATGTCATATACAGTGACTATACAAAAGTCTTGCAACACACAAATAATTCTATATCCTCTCCAACTTCAAGGGAATAGTCACCATATATATATATATGGTAATATACAGATATTCTGTATACATCTTTGACATGAAAATGAGATCTGGATCCTATCCCCTGCTCCATGTGGAAAAAGTGAAAGAAATGGGGTTTTAAGAGTTTTACCAATACTTCATGTGAGGGTCTAGAAAAATGTGTAGAATTAAGTACTTGCTGACTCAAATACACAGAACTTTATATCATATCAATTGGATTGGTGGTTGTTGGGATATAGGTGTAAAAAAATGGCTTGTTTTGGGATAGATAATGAAACAAGGTCCTTTCTTACACCTATATCTCAACAACCACTGCTCCAATTGAGATGATTCAAGGTTCTGTGTACTTAAGTAGGCTAGTACTATATCTATCCAACTCTCACATGAAGTATCTGTAAAACTGTCAAAACCTCATTTTTGACCTACCCAAAACAAGCCCCTTCCTTACACCTATATTTAAACAAATGCTGCTTCAATTGAAATGATTCAAAGTTCTGATACTTGAGTTGGATAGTATTTAATTCTTCATATTTTTTCAGACTCTCATATGACATATTTGTGGAGCTGTCAAAATCTCATTTTTTCACTTTTTCCTACATACATGAAGCAGAGAATGACATCCAAACCTCATATGCATGTGAAAGATGTATATAGAATATTTGTATATTATCATATTTATATGGTAGCTAGTCCCCAGAAGTTGAGGAAGATATAGTATTTTTTATGTGGTGCAAAACTTATAGTGAGTCACTGTAGGAATGTTTAGTTTGTCTTGCTGACAGGCCATGTAAAAAATTTGACTCATATTTTTCACTCCAAACAGCCTGGAAACAGTCTGAATTAGTCCAAATTGTCAAGCTTTTTTATCCAGAGATCAAAGGACCAGTATGTTAAATGGAAAGATAAGATTGTGCACCAAAATATATGACATAACTAATAAGATGTCAAGTGATATGTCCTTATTGCAAGACAGTGGTCAATTGAATTTGCAAACTACCTCAAAAGGCACAAACCCAGTCACCAGTATTACCCACCCCCTCAGACTCCATCATGTCAAAATCTTGTGTCTGAAAGCTGCCATGTTGTTGAACATGCATGTGCATTGATGGACTTCCAGACACAATAAAGCTTGCTGGTGTCCACTTGCACAGTTCTCTGGAAGCTTTGAAGGAACAGTCCCTGAAAGAAACAAAGGCAGCAAGATGTTTGATGTTCTGAGGGAATGTGGATGTTATGACGTAATATTTCTATATTTGGAGGTATATTCTCACACATAGTTAGCTACAGTGACTAGGCAAAAGTCTTGCACCACACAAATAATTCTATATCCTCTCCAAGTTCAAGGGAATAGTTACCATATATATATGGTAATATACAGATATCCTATATACATCTTTGACATGAATATGAGATCTGGATCTCATGCTCTGCTCCATGTAGGAAAAAGTGAAAAAACTGGGGTTTTTAGAGTTTTACAGATACTTCATGTGAGGGTCTGGAAAAACAGGGCATTCAGTAGATACCCAATGGAAGGATAGTAGTTCACATGGTCAATTGTCCAATGGACCATAGGGCCACCCCAATGGGCCCAATCACTGTGGGCTCTATTTGGCCATAGTTTGTCCCAATGTCTGTGAGACATTAAACTGACATTGTTGGGGCCAAGATAAGAAAACTATAAGAAGCATAATTGGGCCGAATGAGGGATACATGAAGCGAATTGTGCCCATTGGGCCCAATGGAGACCCATGATAAATTCCCAACAGCTGAAGTTGGGCCCGATATTCCAAGGCTATTAATTAGGCTATACTGCATTGTTGGGCCCAATGCTCAGTGTAACAATTGCCGAATCTGGCAGAACCATAACCCTAACCCTGGCAATCCCTGTCTAGCTGGAATCAGATCCGATGACATCGGCTCCAGCACAAAATGAGATACACATTGCAAATATCATCAGTAGGAGGCCATAAATCAATATTTCCATATCGGCCTGAAATCCTGTTCATCGCTTGGATTCATTTTGGGTATTAGATAATAGCCGGAAATGTGACAGCCGCCCTGGATGCATGGATCCCATGAGGCTTGCTGTATAAAGGACACTTTCTTTGCAGTGCCGAAATACCTCTGGAAATATTGTGTTGCCTCGAAGGACTATGTGGACTCAATACATATTAGAACTGAAAGTTTCGTTGGCTCATAGTGCCGAAATATCGCCCAAAATATTGTATTGCGCACCAAGGACTATGTGCACTCATTAGATATTAAAACCGAATATTTTGTTAGCTCATAGTGCCGAAATATTGCCAG